GTGTTGTTTTATTTGAAGACAACTACTTCCATGTAAGAAAGAAAATCTTGTAAAATTGGAAAATAACTAGTTTTTAATAAGTAAAAACAGTACACTAAGAAAAATAATTAGTATGAAAGTGACACAAGTAAAAAAGAGAGATAAACAGTAATGTCTGAGACAGTATAGTACCAGCAGTACATATTTGTACATTTTTATTTAACTTACTCTTGGCATCCTCCAACAATTCCTATTCGTCCATCTTGGCCTTTATGTTTTTTGGCAGTTAAAGGTGGAATAACATTTCGCACCAATTGAAATATATTTTCCATTTCCTTTATGGAATGTGTTTTGTGAACTGAAAAAGATCTCTCTATGACTGAAAAAAAATAAGGACATTTAAATAATTATTACAAATATAAACCTTTAACATTAGGATGTTGACTGCATTCACAGATTACAAGAATTTGTTTCTAAAGAAATTGCCATTTTAAATATAGCTATTCGTATTTTAACAACCCAAATTCCACACAACCTTATTCACAAATAACAGTAAAGAAGGTGTGTTTTTGTTTTACTAGTCTGGTTAAACCACACTTACCCCCATTATCAACACGCTAACAGATATAAATAGCATTTCTAGTTTGGCTAGTCAAGGATTTTAGTCTTCTATACCTAGGCATCAGTTTCCCAATTCCCTACATGGGTATGGTCACAAGTGTTTGGAAGCACAAGAAATCTCTTAAGAGAAGGCATATACTTTTATTTTATTCTGAGGTATCTCACTCACTCTGAAACCGATGTGTGCAAAATGTACTGCATTCTAAACATTTTGAGCTAAGTGTTTCATATTGAACAATCAGGTTCCTGTTTTTTTTTCAACTTATCTATTAATAATTTCCAAGATATAGTATGTATGCATATTGGGAGGAAATATTAAATGAGAAAACATAGAGGTATCTTAACCATAGCTTAAATGTTCTCTTACAAGTAGCTTTAGGCTGCAATTTCACATGTCCATGTTTCAAGCAAACTACCTGAAATAACACTACAGCTCTAGAGAATCTGGGCTAACCAGATATATGTACCGACTGCAATCTTATGTCTGAGACTGCAAAGAGAAAATGTTACAACTGCCTAAAATCACATTGTTTTAGAATGAAAAGATGCCAACAGATCGATACTGATTCTCAACAGTTAGGTTCACAGATCATGCTAACCTTTCATTTAACTATGATGTCCTGAATAAGTAATGATGGCCTGGTTCACATGTAACACTAAGACATAAACTAGTTAATAATCCATAATGGCTAGATTCACTTAATGCTTTAAGCCATAATGATTAAATCACATTATAGTTCATAGCAATTTGTGAACTAAGTCACTTTAGATAGGAATGGATACTGGTTCAAGTACTGAAAATGTTTAAGATCAAAATAAGCGACAAAAATTAATCTGTAGCTTTGAATACAGGTTAGTATTAGGCTTCACTACAGCTTCTATCAAAACATGCTGCATTATTTTAGAACATCAAACGTGGATAGTTGTTACAATCAGAAAACTGACAAAGAACATCAGGTATCCCTGGGACAAAAAAACTTCAAATTGCTGCACTCTCAGCAAAATCCCTTTTCTTCTAGATCAATGTTACTCAACCTCAGGAACTTTAAGCTGTGTAGACTTCAACTTCCAGAATTCCCCAGCCAGCCATGCTGGCTGGAGAATACCAGGAGTTGAAGTCTACACAGCTTAAAGTTCCTGAGACTGAGAAACACTGTTCTAGATCAATACAGTCATCTCCACAACCAAACTTCATTACCGGAAAAGAGCACTTGCAGATCAACAATCTTGGGTCACCATTTGCAATAGGAATCATCCCTTTAAAAATACATTCCACTTACAATAAATACATGCATTATCATATATAAGCATCAAAGCCCCAAACTGTTTTTTTCTACTGGCAACTATTTTATTTGTCTTAAAAACATAACAAGAGAATGAGTACTCAGGTTAAACTGGTGATGCAAACAAGGCTAAGGAAAGAGCCACAAGTCTTTCCTTGACCCTTCAAAGCTTCTAGTATATCAGCAGCAGAACCTGACTGCAAACAATCAGGTACTTCTGCACAGCTGCAAGATAGATAGATAGATAGATAGATAGATAGATAGATAGATAGATAGACAGACAGACAGACAGACAGACAGACAGACAGACAATTTAACCTAAAACCCAGAGTTCTGAGTTGAAGACTATGGACCACAAATCACGCAAGTAAAGATATTCCTAATATAGACTGGATAAAGTGATTGTGAAATCGGAATAATGTTAGCAATTTAATACCTAAAAACAACTTTAGTGGAGACAGAAACAAGAAGGGCACCAAAAATTATGTTGGTCTATGACCGTAATAAAGATTTGATTGAGTGAGGGTACATAAAAAAGACTGGCCATCTATTAACATTCTTTATTCTCACACAAACTGATTAAACATTAAGGTGACTTCCACATTCATTCAACACATACCTTTTCTGCACAAAACTAGAGCCCTGATTATATGCTTTCAGAGATGTAAATATATGTACTTGTACAATGAAGCTTTACTAATCAATCATAATGCATTCTATAAGTTCAGAATGAAACATCTGAATCTTAATGGAGGCTCCAATAGAAGAGAATATATGTAGCTCGGTTGAATTTTGGAGTCCTTGGTGCTCTCTGAGCTATGAATTCACCCCCACCAAAACTGGCAGGGCAAGCTACTATATATAAACAGGGAGCAAACCCGACACTCACTCGCACTGATGACGTTACCTAGTTGGGCGCTGAAATGACTGCAAGCAAACAACCAAGCTCAGAGAGCACCAAGGACTCTGCACTTAATGGAGGCTATTTTAACAGAAATTGACTTCTATCAAACATAGAACTGGATTTAGTTGCAGTTACCTCTAGTCCTGAAGAACATCAGCACAGTGAGCAATATGAAAGTTGTTCTAAAACCAGTTTTCAAATTCTGTTCCATAGCAGATGACAAAAAACTTGTGTGCTGCTAAAAGTCTTCTACATTTCTATGGGTGGAAATATTAAGCATATCCCAATATGCAGAGTTTCCATGCAGTTTCCAGCAGTAACAGCTAAATACAACAGGATTTGCAAGCACCCTTTTCATATGTTTCCTCAATTCAATCTCCAGCAAACTCTGTGATATCCAAGGTCCTGCAGCAACTGTATTTATATGAGGGAAAAAATCCCTGACACTGCAAAGTACAAATTCCACTACTCCCCTATTTAAAACTTTGCTTATTATACTACCATGCAACTGTGGAAAACCTACTGTGCGTGAAGGCAACTTTAGGAGCATCTTACAGCTGTGCTGGAATGTAAATTTAGTAACCAGGAAGTGCTTTCACAGTTACTAAATGTAACTGTCTGGTTATTCCAGTAGCCAAGTTTGGCTGAAAGGTTATCAAATTTGCTAAGGTAAATTCTGAGGATTTAACCTATGGAGTATCCACTTTATCAGTACTAATGATTAACATTGATTAACTAATGATCAACACTGATAGTGGTAATAAGAAGTAACAGTTAATCTGAAAGATTCTAATGCCTAATGAGGTGGCAAAGCCCTCAAATGAAGAATAGGATATTTTGGGCAGGCAGAACTGGGGAAGGCTAGTGAAAGAAATGTAGGGAAGAGAAACAGTGCTACTGACTGCTATTGCCAGCTACTGATATTTAGTAACAGGAAACATTCCTCTTCCATCCAGTACTAGGAGGGTTGATGAAAACCTTCCTGCAATAGGCTGTGATTTTTTTTTTTTCAAGTTCTAAGCAAGCAACTTTTTAACAGGTCACTGTATTCTGCAATTACTCATATAGTATGCTTCTAGATGATCTTTTCAAATGGTTGATTTTGATTCTACTGAAGATGTGTTGCATTATTTTAAATATTTAATTCTAGAAGTTTATGAATACTGAATACCAGGCTACATGGATTTTATTATCAGTACACAGAATCTCTTTTTAATCCTCTAAAATAGTAACTGACTGCTCTACATCTTTAAAAATGCTGAATTGCGTGAGCTACATGTTACCATGATCTATTCCACAGCAATGCTCAAAAAAGTGTTACTAAATAAACTCCATGTCTATAGAAACATTTTTATTAGCTGAGCGTTTCATTTTTCAAGCAAACCGCAGAATACCAAATACCATTTCACTGATTTTTAGAAAGATTCACCACATCTATGTGCACAAAGCTTAACTAGTAGATCCACACATCATTAATACAAGAGAATGAAGTACCTATGGGTGGAGATAATGTTGCTGTCATAGAATTATAGTTAAAATTATCTCCATACGATCGGTGATTTGATCTTTGTGAAGGATTACTTGGTACAAACTGGGACCTTTGTGATACTGTGGAAGAGATTCCTGCCAACATCTGTCCCAACATCTGCAACATCTGGAGCTCCCTGGCATGCTCTGCTTCACGCCGTTTGTCTTCAATTTTAAGTCGCTGTTCTTCGTATTTATAGAACTTCTCTTCAGTATCCATACTCTGCTGCAAAAATTTTTCCATCATTTTGTCCAGCGTTAAGTTTGCATGTCGCTTTTTTGATCTTTTAGCCTGAGATAATAACGGTGGTGCATTGGTGTGAGCATTAATTTGTTTAAAACCTAAAACAAAAGCAAATTAGTTTTAATACAACTTTAAAGAATATAAGTAATAAAAAGTGTCCCTATAACTCCATATCCATCTATGTACCAGTCTAGTAAATACTCATTACAGCATACTCTGTGGGCTATAGTCTACTCTATCAGATTCCTGACAGACATTAACTGATTGTAGTCCATAAAATGCTATGCCATACTCAATCTGTGGTCTTTCAGGTGCTGCAAGGGTTTTCTGATTTTGTGGCAAAATCTCTAAAAAATTTATATGCTTATTTTAATCACAATAACTGTGTTCTGATGGTTTACAACACAACTCTAACAACACTTCTACTGCAGATAATTATCATCAGCTTAATTTCCTGCTTTTAGAGATGTATTACAAAGAATATAACTTTAATTTTCTTCTTTAATATTACTTCTGTGTGAAAAGTAGTGCGAACTACCAGACTTAAGCCTGTCAACTTATGAAGCCAAAGTAATGCAAAATCAAAAACACAGAGGGTACAACACCACTGTTGCTTTCTAAGAATAATTTTCTAAAAATGTGTGCAGAAAATACCATAAGTAAATACTCGACACTGGTCCTATAGTATGCAAAGAAAGTTTGTGTAAAAGGCCTGTCCAAAATTAGCTTGACAGGGTAAATGGGTACTAAAATCGAAGATAAAAAGCATACTTTTAATATTAAGGAGGATTTTCCATCCTTCAATAAAAGAGAGGGATCAAAAGCTCATTGGGATCCCAAGAAATGCCTGATTTCCTGACAGATAAATAGATGTGACAGTGCCCTCAGGAATATGAAGTGTATTGTTTGGAGAATTCAGACAGGATATCTCCAAGGCGTTACATCATTTTTTGACTCCCTGCTGTTGCTGGGTAACATTTTAATGTGCAGCTGGCATATGCAAAACGAGGATTCTCCCTGGTTAAGTTAAATGGTGCAGTTATAATATGGTATAATAGGAATTCATTTTAAAATAAACTGCAGTTGTTATAACAAAAGAGTCATTCACTAGTGTTAACCAGACCCTACCTAGAAGGATAATTAAAACCTTTTCAGTGAAAAGAAAGGAAGGGTTGTCTGAATGGACAGGCTCTAAGTTGTATGTGATTTGGTGGAGCTTCCTATCTTCTTCTAGACCAGCTTTCTTTAACATCCAATTCATTTGGGGATGCCAGCTTTAGAAATGCTAATTTAATCAAGAACTGGAGAGAAAGGTGACAGCTGTGCTGAGACTTTTCCTTAACATCTCTGGGTGGACAAAGGTGGGGACTCAGAAGGTAACAGAGAAAGTATGATTTTTATGGCCTGCAATCCTTGGCATGTTCACTTAGAAGCAAAGCATACAGAACACAACAGAGCTTTCTGTAAAGCAGTGCTCCTCAACCACAGCAACTTTAAGACTTACGGAGTTCAACTCACAGAATTGGAGTTGGCTGGGGAATTAGAGTTGCCAAGTTTGAGAAAACTGCTCTAAAGTGTGGATGGAAGTGCACAATACTCTATATGTGCTGATTCAGAGCTCAATGCCATTGTTTCTGGGCAAGCAGCAAAGGATTGCAGCCTCAGTCTCCAGGTAGCAAATAAAAGAGTGAGGTGCCAGGCTGTAAGTTAGGAGAGGCATCTCACCCACAATAGCAGGTCACCAGGCACTGGCTGGAAAGATAGAGTACAAGTCAAAGACAGATGCCTTTCCCTCTCTTTTAGTACAGTAACTCACTTTCGGCTGGTGGCAGCGGGATGGCGAAGGGCGGACACTCCACTTTGATGGCGTGGTCGGCGTAGGAAGAGCACTCGCCCGAGTCCTCGTGGAAGTTGTCCCGCGGGGAAGACTCCAGCTCGCCACCATCCTCGTCGTCCTCCTTGTCTTCGTCGTCCTGCTCCTCCGCGTCCGCCTGGCGGCTGTTGCGGAGGCCGCTCTGTCTGGCGGAAGGGGGCGCGGCGAGCACCATGGCGGGCTG